CTCCAGCTGCCTGCTCTGCCAGCCTGGTTGTCCACCTGGCCATTTTGCCGGCATAGTTATGGCTAAGAGTTTTGGAAAACACATTACCCCCATGCCAGCAAAGCTGCCCTGAACTGTTGTCTTCTGTCAGTGCTGGAGGAGCTGGTGGAGCCCGGTGCAGTACCAGCAACCGAACCTGAGTTAAAACCAGTCCACTTTACAAAAAAAAATTCTGCATTACAAGACTGGAGATTTATAATGCGTGCTTTCTTGTGAAGAGACCCATCGGATAATGAGTGCTTATAGTAGGCTACAGGGCATCTAGGCTCTCCTCTAAAATGACACTTCCCAGTAAGTTATCTGTTCCCTAGCTGGTTTTTACTATCATTATGGCTAATTCTCAAAATTCTCTAAAGGGACTTGCGAATAGTTTTCCTTCACATGGGTCTTTCTTGCATTGATTGTGTTCTGGGTTGTTCTTCTTTGCATTCCTCACTGTTAGGATGTTCCTGTGTCAGCAGGTTCACCAGTCTCAGCAGAATTCCTGTGTGGCTGCGCTTCCCATGCGCCCCCGGCAAACAGCTTTGCTGTTTGTGTCCCCAAAGCCCTGATCCAAAGGGACGGTGCCCCGAGAAGCGCTGCGACCCTCTGATCGCTCGCTGGGTCCGAGCAGTGCTTCTGTTCGTGCTCCCTTCTGACGAGGGCCCGCTGCCGTAGGTTGCTGTTGGCGAGGGGTGCGGGGCTCGGCTGTTCTGTGCCGTCTGTCTCGCCAGCTGTGGAGCTCTGGAGGCCTGAACGACCTCGGCAAGCGTTTTGGTGTGAAACTGGAGCCGTCGTTGGAGTGCAACAGAAATGGGGTGGACAGGGAAAGGCAGCAAAGGGCTTGCTGTGAACTGAACAGTGATTCTGTATAAGCACGACTCTCCCATGCTTTTTCTTATTCAGAGGTTCCAGAATAAGAAAATGTTAAATTTTATCAAATAAGGCTTTTTGTAGCCTGTTTTGGTTTCTTCTGTTAAAACATGAATTTTATTATAACAATTGTAAAGCTTCTCGTGTTTTCCCCTGACAGTTTATCTGTAAACCTTGCTGGGACTGCATAAAAACCACAGTTGTACGTTGTATTGTTTAAGGAAGATGACGAGAGCAAGTGTGAGAGAGGAGTGTGTGTGAAATGCCACAGGCAGAAACATGAGCTTTCTGTCTTGGCTTCATGTCTATAAAATGCTGCTTTCATAGAGTGCCCTGGAGTTAACCACCATCCATCCATATTGGTATATATCTATAAATAATGATATATAAATATATGTAAACATATATAGATCTACCCGACTAGCTTCTGTAGGGAACTCCTTGATGTGCTTAAGAGTCAAACAAAAGCCATCCTGAAGGGAAAATCAATCAAAAGCTTTTGGATACACCTGTGTTATATTAACTTTGTTAGTTCATCAAGATTAATCTTGAAATAAGATGGTGTGTATGGTGGGCGGCTTTTATTCCTTGGTTGTGCTTTGTTTGTAAATAGCATTACTTGAAAGGCTGTTATGTTTTCTCATGAAAACAAGTGTAGTTTCAACCCTTATTTCTTTTATTCGTGGCCAGTTGGCCTATGCTGCACGTTGTGTGGGAAGTCACACCTTAAGTGTTGAACAGCAGCGATGCGCTGGGGACCTGCCCTTCATCTGTCATCTCCACCCTGTGTCAACACACGTCACAAAACCTCCGCAGCGTGGCTGTGGGTGCCCTGGGACCTCGCCTGAACCCTTCCGAGGGCGGCGGAGTTCGGTACGACTCGGAATAGGCCGTTACCCCCTGCTTCGCAAGCTGGGGTGGGCCGGGTGCGTGACTGGAAGCGTTCTCAGTCTCACAGAAGCGGCTGAATTTCTGTTTTGTTCCCGAACGCTAGAAGCTGCGAAGTAGGTTTGTGGCCAGATTTCAAGGGCAAAAAAAGAAATGCTGTGGAAAATAATGCTGTTATGAATAAATGATGGCTTGAGTTTGTAATGGCTTGTGATCTCTTATAATTGCAAGTTATCTTTCTGGTATCTTATTTGCTCTGAAAACACATCAAATGCTTTTCTGAAAATATATTCCGTATGACTTTTTCTATGGCTGGAAAAAACACTGTGAATGAAATCATTATAGGGACAATTTTTTTGCTTCATCTCCCAAATCTTTCACTGCAGGAAACAGTATTCTAACACTGTGTCTTTTATGATAAGGTCAGAATTTTGCATTCATTTACAGGGAAAAACTTGTTTAGAATTTTGTATTCATTTACCAGGGAAATATAGACTAACTTTTTTAGTGCAGCTTTGAATACAAAAGAGATTACATGTTTTCAGTCTATGTAGAACTGGAAAAAAGTCTTAGGTGGCAACTTTAATGAACTCGTACCAAATTTTTCGCGTTGTGGCACTCTGAGCTGGATTCAGTCCTTGGGAAGTGTGCTGGTAGGGTGGGTCCGTGAAGGGCTGACGGCTTCCACCGGGCGAGCAGCCCCTTGGGAGCACCGAGCGGCGGACCCCGGAGACCCCAAACAGGGCACTCGGTGCACCTTTCATAGAATTGTTCATTTTTTTATTTGAGAGCTAGACACGGTAATGAATTTCAGATTAAATACTTCCTTTTGAGGAATGCGTAGCGGTGTGGTCTACTTCACGCTTAGGCTGGAGAACTGCGTCGGCTGCATTCGGAAATGCCTTGGACGCTGAGCTGCTTCCGTAAAAGTTACAGAAGCGGGCAGGCTGCTGCTGGGAGCTTCGGTGTGAGTGTTAGTGGGTTTCCTCTGAGCGATGGGTGCAATCCTTGGTGGCAGGTGAGGTGGAGATACAATCTAGTAGTGTGTGGATCACCAGTCCAAGTCCAGTAAGTAAAATAATACTTCCAATCATACAATGATACACGTTCCCAAATGTAGAAAGCGTTAGGAAACGCTCTTCTTTGCTGATGTCTCTTTTTTTCCCCTTGAGCTTTCTGCTGCAAATGCAAGGCATCTTTCCTAATGGCTTCTTCAAGCTAAATATAGAACAACATTTAAACTTCCCCCAAATAAAAACAAAAACCAGCTAAGCCAGGCACATATGGAGAAGTATCCCTAGGGATAAAGTGGACTTTTGGACAAAATGCGACAGGTTATTTCTGTGCTTGGCGTTTTCTGGAGGGTGGTTGGGGTATTTGAAGTGGTAAATATAGCATCAGAGTCTCTGCAGAACAGAACTTAAATTCTAACTTAATTAAATATTAATAAATATTAGTGTCTTCGTAGCTAAGTAGTTAAAGCCATGTGAGGATGGGAATGGGTTGAACTGCGGTGCTGTTGGACACTGTATGAAGCTGGTGTGTAGACTTTCTAAATGATAAGGGTTATCTTTCAAATGCAGATGAAGGCTCGCTGTGCACTTTGTGAAAATTAAGAGCTACTGAACTGTCAGAGAGAAATTTGAAAATACACCGTGCGTTTTATTAGTGCTTAAGTTGGTTGTAATTCTAAATACAGTGCCTTCTATGAGCGCATCCCGCCCCGGCCCGGCCGGCACCTGCCGTGCTGGCGTCGGCACCGCCCGGGCTCGCCGGGACGTCACCGGGAGAAGCCACCGCGGCGCTGGAGGACGGGGACGCGGGAGCCGCGCTCCGTAACGTGTAGCTAAGCCACTCAATGTAGTAACTGCGGGGAGCACGGGGCACGGCAGAATGGAATTCCTGAAAAAAATTGTTCCCACGGTGGTCTCTGGAGACGTGGTGCTGGATGTTGGGGGCACCACCCGCGAGAGCTCCCCGAGGCTGCTGAGGATGAGACGCGTCCGGCTGTTCTCCTTGGGACAGACCATAGACGAAGACGAGGAGACGCACGTTCTACAGCCCGCTCGCAGTACGGAGCTGCGGCCTCAACCTGGTAAAACCCAACAGCTAAGCTTTTTTTTCCCATCACGATTATCTGGCTAAATGGATAAATTTGGTGATAAAAGGCCTTTTCATCAGAGTCACTGTGATAATGGTGTCCTCAGTTTTAGAACTGTTCTATCATTGACGCACTATCACGTGTTAGCGACCTGCTTGAAAGCAGTTCTCCAGGATTTCTAATATGATCCTTGTCTCTGAATGCCTGCCTGGCTTTTTTTCCCCCTTTTTAGGATAAGTATCCCTATTTAAGTTTTTAAATTATAACATAGCTATGACTAGGCACGAAGAGTCGCCTGGACAGGCGTGTGCTGCCCAGAGCTCTGACGGTAGTGCAGGGTTCAAGGTTTGGGTCAGCTTTTCTTTCACTGTCTTTCAACTCTTCCCTCAGTTTTCAAAGGCTTTCCTTCTAAGAGATTTTTTCATTTCACAAATATTTATGCTTACCTCTTGCAGTGTTTTGAACATTGCAGAGTTTTAGAATATAACCATAGTATGTAAATTAAATCAGTCAAGTAAAAATATGGACATTGTATAGAGAATTTTTCACTTAAGAACATGGGTGAGCTTGCTTTATGAAGGTTTTCTTTTTACTACCTGTTAGTGTCTAAATACTACAGTGTATTATGCTAATAAAAAGAAGTGGAATGGGTGAATGTTCCCTTTTCGGGCAGTTCAGCTTGGTGGCAATGGAAAATCCAGTTTTGTTTTGTTTTTTCCTTTTGCCTTCAGCTAAAATAGTAAGTTCTTCAGCTTTTACGGTCTTGGATCGTGATGGCTATCAGATGCACAGTTTTCACCCTTTGCTGTGTGGCTGCTATTTTCAGGAATTAGCGTGGCCTTCAAGTTTTTTCCCTTCCGTGCCCACCTGCAGAGGCAGGAGATGGTGACATCCGTCTTAAGGCTGTAAGCTCACCATCCAGTAACTATGGCATGAAGGCTGTAGTGGTGCTGGGAGAAAGGTGTTTCCTTGGGAAGGCTTTTCTTAGCCTTTCTGATTGTAATATAAACCACTTTTTTTTTAACATCAGGCTGAGTAACATTGGCAGGAGGGACAGTTCTGGTTTGTTAAACAACTGTTCCTGTGTATAACTTACTGGAAGAAGTTCCTGTTGTGATGGTATGGACTGCTGAAGGCTTCTGACAGAATGCAGTCTGTTAAGACTGCTGTTGCCTCTGTACTTGAAAACTCTGACGAGAAGCTCACGGTGTCTGAGAGGGTGATGGATGCTCTGCTAGCCAGGTTCGTGTCCTCATTTCACTTCGAATGCAGTAGAGCCCTGAGGTTTGTGGCTGGGTATCGCTGTGACGTGCACAGCTTAAATAGCTCCATCAGCATAGCTCATCAGTCCTGCTTTTATGCTGTGTTACGGTTTCTTGATAGCTTTCGCTTTTAAATAATATTTTATTTCAGAGCAAATGGAATTGGTTTGGTGCCAGGTTGAAAGAAAACGCTGTAGGCTGAAGGTTGTAGTCAAAACAGATGCCTTCATCTAACCCTGTTCAGTGTTTTGTCAATAGCTCAAGCAAATGAGGACAATCAACAGCAGGACTGGTATAGTCTATGTTTGAGATGAATTCTCCTTGCTTGCTCATTAAGTACTTGCCAAATGGAGATTATTAGGAGTGATTTTGTGGAAATCAGTAGTGCCTGACTAATATCACTTAATAGCGTGATGTCACTGTTTGCGAAATGCAGACTTACAGTCTGTTCTGGGATCATGCTTTTACAATAGCAGATAGTAGCTGAATCCTCTTTAAATTATCTGCTTATTTCTATTTTTGTATCTTGGTAATGGAATGAACTGCTCTGCTGGAATAGAGCAAAAGGACTGCGGTGTTTGCCAGTTGGGTATGCTGCAGAAGGCAGGTGACGACCAAACAGGTAATAAAACAGTAGAATGATTTGGAAAAAAAAAAGGCAAACACTTACTTGTTTAATGTCAGCAGATGTGATGTTAATGCACCACCGAATTTAATATGATGAAGCTGTTTGGGAACCGGATAGGTTTTTAAAGCGAAGGTGGCTTGTCCTGCAGATATGTTTGGATTTGGAAGTGGGTGGGTTTGTGTGTTTTGGGTGGGTTTTTTTTCCCTTTTTCCTTTCTGTTCCTTATTGCTGCTCTTTAGGTAACACTTTTGTATTAACGAGAACTTTGTCTGACCTGACAAAGATTTTAAAATAGGAAAGTATTTTAGACGCTCTTAAACAAGCCAAGCAAATAAACTATTCATGGCATCGAAAGCATAGAAGTAGTATTTTAAAGATACCACTTAGTTGGGTTTGCATATATCTGACCTAAATATTTTGTGTGTATTTCAAGAGGTGTGATTTTTTTGTTTAGGATTAAAATATTTATCAGAATCGCCTTTCAAAATGTTAACTCAAGTAGTATATATTTTGTTTTATAGCCAAAAACAAGACCTTAGAAACATATGCTCTGTGGCACATCTTTTAAAATATGTAGCTTCTGTCAGAATGGTTTGAAGTGTATTTTAGAAATCTTTCATAACCATTTTTTTAGATTTACAAGATTATTAGAATAGTAGGAAAAGGTCTCAGTGAAGTATTTGCATACGATGGTGTGCGTCACAACACCTAACAGATGTTAGCAAGGAGTTCTTTCAAATTTGCTGCAACATTGAAGGGTTGACATGGTCTCAGTTTTAACATTTTTGCTCTCAGCTGCAATCCAAATCGGACGTGGAAAGACGCGCTTGGAAGATCCAGAGGGAGCATTTTCCTGTGCCAAAACCCCACATACAGCTGTGTACACGGACAGGCACGTCTAGGAATGATTTGGTGTTCCACCTCTCTCTGTCTGTAGCGTTAAAGCGGGGCAGGGCCGTGCCTGTGCCAGCTGGCAAAGGGCAGCCGTACCCACGGAGGGTGCGATGTGCCCGTCCGTTGCCGGCCTGCCCCTCGCCTGTGCTGCGAGGCCGGGTAGCTGGTGCTGTGGGGCTGGCTTGGTGGCTGACCATGCAAGTCCAAGCCGCAAGGACTGCGTGAGAGATGTTGAATTTATCAGCGATGTGAGTGTTCCGATTGCTTACGGCGTCCCCGTGATTTCTGTGTGCAGAGAACTTCTGCAAACGTTAAACCTGCTTCCCTCCCAGTGCCTCTGCTAGGGGAGCAGAAAGAAGCCGACAGAAGTGTGTTCTTCGGTGGTAAAGAGATGAGTAGTAGAGTGGTAAAGAGTAATAGAGTAGTAAAGAGTACACTTGAATGGAAACATTCAAGACCAGGTTGGACAGGGTCTGAGCAACCTGATCTAGTTAGCGGTGTCCCTGCTCGCTGCGGGGGGGTTGGACTAGATGACCTTTAGGGGTCCCTTCCGACCCAAAACTTTCTATTATTCCGTGGTAATTGCCTCAGGGGGCTGACAGCAGGGCCTGCGTGGACATAAACTGCCTACCAGCACTGCTGCGTCCCTGTAGTAGCGGCGTCCCTGTAGTAGCGGCGTCTCTGCAGGGCATCTTCAGCTCCGTGTTGCATCCCGGATCAGCCCTGCACAGCAGAGCACGACCAGAGGCCCGGCATCTCTCTGGGATGACAGTTTCTCTGCCCGAGCTCGGGGTTTCAGCTGGAGAAGACTGGAGGGGTTCGTGGGCCAGGAAGTACTGTGGCTTCGCCCCACCCCGCTCTCCGTTTGCGTCTCGCTTGCGTTCAGAGGCTGCTCCACAATACCGTTTGGGATCCAGAATGCTATTTACTTAAAAGTCTGGAACCCTCGCTCCTCTTTTCTTATCACAGCAGATAGCATTGTTTTGCTTGAGTAATGCCCCAGGAAATGGTTCTCTGTACATTTTCCATAGGAAGTACTAAAGAACCTTTCCTAAGGGCCCCTGGAACCTGCAGTTGGAGCTCTTGGCGACAGAAGGCAGGGGAAGAGGGTTTTGGTTGGAGTTTTGAGCGTGGCTGGACAGGCCTCGCTCTGAGCTGACTCACGTCACGCCGCCAGCAGAGAAGGTGCCAATATTTTTGGGGCAGTATTTCTGAGATGGATGGGCGAGGGGAATCGACTCGCTGAGGGGGGCTTTTGGGCAGCAGCGTGTGTCGTACCGTCACCCCAAGTAGCAGTCACCTTCTGCATACCCTCTGTTTTAAATATATTGATTTGTGGAAAATGAACTCTTGAATATTTTAGGTAAATGGGAACACAAGCATCTTTCCAGAGTTTTAAGTGCGGTGACGAGATGTTTTATTATTACTGCTTATAAGCAGATACAATGACTGTTGGGTAAATGTTTTTTAAGTAAGGCATTTGCTTGAGAGGGAGTCAGTAATGAACTGAAATAATGTCCAGCAAGTCTTTTTTTAAAAGTAAGCAAAGGAGTGTGCCTCTCACTTGTTCACCATTAATATAGAAAATCGACTATAATGATATTTAATTGTTAAAAATAAAAAAGTTGGTATGACTTAGTTCAAGGAGAGATCTTAAATATGATTTTTGGCCTGGGTTTTTTTTTTTGAGATCTGACATTTTTTAATTGTGTTGTGTACTTGGCTGTATGCCTGATATGCTTTTACTGGAGTTGTCCCAGGGTTTCATCTGAAGAGTAAGCGTGCAGGGATTTACGATGAATAGACTTTTTTCCTACAGTGTTTGTGAGGGGGGGTGTGTGTTCTTTTCTTCTTTTTCCTTGCCAAACCTTACCTTTATCTCATCCCAAAGAGTGACGAAGGAGTTATAACTCAGCACTTCTGAGGTAAGAGTGACAGGAGTTATAACTCGGCACTTCTGAGGTAGATCTAGAAGGGCCTTTTCTTCATACTTAACAGCTACTCATGGTTTTCATGAGGAGGTAACTTACTTGTTTTCTTCTGAGATACGGTGAACAGAGCTTACAATTCTCTTGTTTATTATGCAGCTTCTGGACTTCAAGCACTTAAAAGGTTTGCTAAGGTTTGAGGATGTTGGTATAAGGTTTCGTGTGACAGCTGAGCCAAAGTAATGGCTCAACGCTGTG